CTTCCCCCTTTACCATGTTTGCACATTGAAATTTGGCAGATTGGTTTGCTGGGCCTATGTTGCCTTTGAGACCGTATAGCAGCCCAGGAATGAAAATTAACCCCATCATGGCATACCATTTGTAAAAGTAGACTATCCACGGTGTATGTCCAGTCTTTTACAGTAGACTCTTAGCCACAAACGCTGGCCAAAATTAGCATTCATATTTGTTTTTTGCATTTTTTTTTTAAACTGTTGTTTACTGTTGATTTCATTGTCCTGATAAGTTTTACTGTTTTAAACACTCATATTTATGTTCAGTGAAGTCTCCTGAGTATAACAATACCCCCCATGTCCCAAGTTTTATGGTGTTATAAAAAGTTACAGGGTCAATATAGGGCTTCCACAATTCAGTTTGCCAGATTGGTTTGCTGGGTCTGTGTTGCCTTTTGAGACCATATGGTAGCCCGGGAATGTGAAATAACCCCATCATGGTATACCATTTTCAAATGTAGACAACCCAGGGTATTCCAAATGGGTTATTTCCAGTCTTTTGTAGTAGCCACTTAGTCACAAACGCTGGCCAAAGTTAGTGTTTTTATTTGTTTTTTATAAAAAATTTTTTACAATGTTGACGTTTCAGTCCCCCAGACTTTTATCAAGACAAATTGCAAAGGTAAAACAAACGTTTAAATACCGCGTTGTAAAGACCTGATTGGAGAGTGAATAAAACGAAAGTGAGGTTCTGTGATGTCACTGATGACATCTGAAAATTCACAAATCGTCATCAGAGTCCAGTTAACCCATTGGGCTGCAATTAATGACTAGAATGGTAAGATGAATAGATTAGTGGTGATAGACAATAGATACCTATAAACAAGCAACAGAGGATCATATACAGAGTGTAGGGGTCCCCCTAGCCCACTTGAAAATAGTGATAATTTATATACAAGTGGTACAGTGAGCAGTAAGAGTTCCCACATCCATCATAAAGAAACATCTCAACCAAAGTATTTACATATAAAATATACTAATTGGGCCGAATGGTTCTTATCTGCCGTCACATTCTATGTTTCTATGTTTCTATATACATAAATATATCTAAAGTTGATGCATATTCAAGAACAAGCGTTAAGCAATTATGTGTATTAAGATTTCTATACAACATTGCAGCTTAGTGGAATAAGGAGTTAAGGTACGTGTACTGCATCTATTAAAAGCTCCATAATTAAATGGGAGACATTTGGGGATCTGAGCCCAGATAGTCCCCCCGCTTAGAAGAAGACCGGTTGCCAGCAGGGGAATGGCGGCTATCGGTAAGTACATGGGAAGGGAGAGGGAGGGAAGGTAGGGGTTAAATTTTAATTTTTTTTATTTATTTAATTTTTTTGTTATATTTACTGAGAGCCTCGACCCCTCGAGGCACTCAGTACAGGCAGAGCATCGGAAGCCTACCTAATGGCTTTTGATGCTCTGCCTCACTCCCGGGCTCCACAAGGAGCAACCCGTAAGTGATCGCTTCGGGGGGAGCGAACACCTGGTGTTCTCTGGTGGCCACCGGCAGTGAGGGGGTTATTGTAGTGATGCCTCGACATCAAGGCATCGCTGCAATACCATTGGAGTTGCTGAAAGCGATCACCTTAAGGACTGTTTTCTGTCGGATGTACCTGATACGTCCATGGTCACTTAGGGGTTAATGTAGTTGTTCTGGTGAGTATAATCATTCCCTTCAGACATTATTATGCTAACACTATCTTTTCATAAAAAAGGCAGTGTTTACATTGCCCCTTATGGACACCTCCAGGTGGTCACTCCTCAGATGGCCACTGGAGGTGCTTCCTGGGGCAGTGCTGCACAGTAGGCAGCACTGCCATTCAGAGTCTCCACTCTCTGCAAGGGATAGCTGAATTTTCCTCATAGAGAAGCATTGATTCAATAAATCTCTATGAGGAGGTGCTGATTTGCCAAAACAGAGTTTGGCCCTGCCCCCATCCCGGCTTCTTGCCAATTTTAGCCAATCCAATGCTTTCCCTTGATGTCATCAAGGAGGCGGATCGGAATGGGGCCAACGCAAGTAGACCCGCGTAGCTCTGGAAATAATGTGTTTTAATTCCTTCTAGGTGGGCCAGTGGCGGACTAAGGGGGGGGGCGGAGGGGGCGGTCTGCCACCCCGGCTGCCACCAGGTAGGGGGATGCCATAACCCAGGTCTGAGGGCTAATGGGGGATGTGTGAGCTGTGCCCCATGGCAGCTGGTGTGTCGCACAGCTCACAGGCAGAGACAAGCAAGCTGAAGTGGCCGTACGGAAGTTTGGGGGCGGGGCTATGACCGTTTGGGACCGGAGCCAATCTGAAACGGGGTGGGGCTTAACACAGCGTATGTGTGTGTAACTGTTGTCTGTAACTGTATGTGTGTGTAACTGTCTGCCTGTAATTGTGTGTGTGTTTGTGTGTGTGTGTGTAACTGTCTGCCTGTAATTGTGTGTGTGTGTGTGTGTGTGTGTGTAACTGTCTGCCTGTAATTGTGTGTGTAACTGTGTGTATGTGTGTGTAACTGTTGTCTGTAACTGTGTGTATGTGTGTGTAACTGTCTGCCTGTAACTGTGTGTGTGTGTGTGTGTAACTGTTGTCTGTAACTGTGTGTGTGTGTGTGTGTAACTGTTGTCTGTAACTGTGTGTGTGTGTGACTGTTTGTAACTGTGTGTGTGACTGTCTGTAACTGTGTGTGTGTGTGTGTGACTGTCTGTCTGTAACTGTGTGTGTGTGTGTGTGACTGTCTGTAACTGTGTGAGTGTGTAACGGTCTGCCTGTAACTGTGTGTGTGTATGTGTGTAACTGTCTGTAACTGTGTGCATGTGTGTAACTGTCTGTCTGTAACTGTGTGTGTGTAACGGTCTGCCTGTAACTTTGTGTGTGTGTGTAACTGTCTGCCTGTAACTGTGTGTATGTGTGTGTGTGTGTAACGGTCTGCCTGTAACTTTGTGTGTGTGTAACTGTTTGCCTGTAACGGTATGTATGTGTGTGTAACTGTCTGCCTGTAACTGTGTGTATGTGTGTGTGTGTGTGTGTGTAATGGTCTGCCTGTAACGTTGTGTGTGTAACTGTTTGCCTGTAACGGTATGTATGTGTGTGTAACTCTCTGCCTGTAACTGTGTGTCTCTGTGTGTAATGGTCTGCCTGTAACTGTGTGTGTGTGAATGTCTGTGTGTGACTGCATGCTTGTAACTGTGTGTGTGTGACTGCCTGTGACTGTGTGTGAGTCTGCCTGTGAATGTGTGATGCTGCCTGTAACTGTGTGTGTGTGACTGTCTGCCTGTGTGTGTGTGACTGTCTGCATGTTACTGTGTGCGTGACTGCCTGTCTATAACTATGTGCGTGTGACTGTCTGCCTGTGACTGTGTGATGTTGCCTGTAATGTGTGTGTGTGTGGCTGTAACCGTGTGTGTGACTGTATATGTGACTGTCTGCCTGTAACAGTGTGCGTGACTGTGTGTTACTGCTTGTAAATGACTGTGTGTATGACTGCCTGTGACTATATGTGTGACTGTGTGCATGTGACTGTGTGTGTGTGACTGTCTGCCTGTAACTGTATGTGAGGGGGTGCAGGGATTTTGTAGAGGGGACAGTGGTTTTAACAAGTTTACAAATTTGTGCAATACATTTTTAAAAAAAGGAAAAAAAGAACACATTTAAAAAATTTAGTAGTTTTTTTTTTTTTGGAGGGGAGAGGGGGTCGGGAGGAGGGGGGTGCCAAACCCAGGACCCGCCCCAGGTGCCACATGCTCTAGGTACGCCCCTGAGGTGGGCTAACAGGGGGCAAGCCACCTAAATGGCGGGATTAGCCCTATAGGGGCTAACATGTTTGTTAAATTGAGTTAACTTCTGATTGAAAAGTAAACCACTTTGTTTTTCATATAGGCTGTGTAAGTCGCACCCAGGGCAGGTGTAGTTAGGGCTGCATAAACAGAAATAAAAGTGATTTAACTCCTAAATGGCAGAGAATTGAGAAGTGAGACTTCAAATGCATGATCTATACACCAAAATTGCTTAATTAAGCTAAAGTTGTTTTGGTGACTATAGTATCCCTTTAAGTCTAATATAGCCAGACTTGAAAAAAATCTCTGAGCCTGGTATGCTTTGACCTAAACTTTTAAATTCACTTTGAATTCTTTAGTGAATAACCCTATTAAAGTGAATTATTATCCAAATATAAACATGGTTAAGTCCCTACCTGCACTTGTGTGCCAAATTGTAATAGCTCATCTGGCAGGAAATACACATTACAATTAATCTTTCTAAATGGTGTTTATCAGTAGATCAAAAAAGTGTTTCACATTTGTAATTTGTGTTCTAAAGAATAAGTGTTCTGAAGTGAAGTTTATAAAAACAGATAAGCTATTTATAGTTTGACTAATAGAAAAGACTCGCTGCGATCATTTAACTTTCAATACATATTCTCCATTTATTAAAACTAATCTCTTTGTAGCATTTTATGTATAACCATATGATTTCAATGACTGCATCTTCAGTGGAGAACCATGTCTATAATACAATGTGAGAAATACAGTAATTCCCCAAATATGGTCATTTTACAACTGATTTCCACACTAATTGCTCTAGTGCCACCTGTTGGTCACTGCATTTGATCTGTGTTGCGGTGGTTAGACCCAATATCAGATCATTCTCTCATGGTTGCGTTCCAAATTTCGGTTTAGTTTCGACGCTGCATTCAGTATTACTTTTCAAGTGTATCAGCCGACTTTCTGTTATAGAACATTCGGCAAAAATATTGCAGGCTGCTTAAAAAAAAAAAATCAATATGTTTAGTTACTTTAGTCCTATTTTTTTGGAACGAAAAAAAAATAAAAAATCCCACTCGGTTATTAGAAATGCTAGAAAGGCTGTTCCATCAAATTTCCCTACTCTGTTCAAGAGCTCCGAGAGGGAAAGGATGTTTGCCCTTTTCAAAGATGGCGCACAATACCTACCTAGACTGCCTCGTTACCATAGTGACCAGTTACAACAACCATGTCGGGGGAAAAGGAAGCTGCAGGTAAGTGAAAGTTAGATCAGGTCATGTAAAATACATTAAAAGTAAAAACTAGTGATGGAAAGAGAGTAAGATGAGAATATGAGAATTGCTCACTGTGGCCAATAATGTCCATCGAGTGATCAATGCTAAAGGGCAGTCATTAGAATGCAGAATAAATAACAAACAGCCCACAGTGAAATAAAACGAGGTGTGCAATGACAAATATCTTGACACCGTGAATGTATTTTGGAATCGTTGTTCAGGGTGGCACATGTTGACATGGGGGTATTTTTCAATTAGGGGACTTTAGAAGCCTGCATTAGAGAGACGTCTGTTGATTTTAATATAGTTTAAAAAAAAATAAAAAAATACATTTTCTAGAAAAGGTAAAACGTGGGCATCATAACTGTTAGTCTATGGGTGATTTCATATCAATTATTTCAGGATTCCCTATACTCCAGTACAGTGAAATGATGAGAACCAAATTTAGAGCCCAGGAGTGGTAACCATGGAAACTGATGATGGTGTTCAATGGAATAGAGCACTAAATATAACTCCCTCACGCCTGGCAGGATTAAAAATAACAAACACCAGGTATTGCATTATGTAACTATGATTTCCATAGGTATGCACAACTCGGGGTTGACACCCAGAAATTATTATTGATATTATTAATTTTTAACCAATAGGCAAATTACTACTGAAAATGTAAACACAATGGACATGTGTGTTCATATAAAAACTAAATAAATAAAATGTAACCATTCATTTTTTTATTATTTCCATCTAAATTATTATTTTATTTTTGCAGGGCTTAGAATAACATATTAGTTTGCGATGTCATGACAGGAATAACAAGTGTCAAAATAACATAAGTAGCTAGTCACATGATCTATGAAATACCTAGCACAATATTTAAATGGTATAGGAACAAGATGAGCAGTTATGTCTAAGTTCTGGGCAAGATAAGGTCATGAGGCGATACAGACATGATGGGAACAGACAAGGATCTGAAGTTAGTATCATGTTGAGGTGAACAAGTGAGAACTGCTGGACCTAATCACAATGTTAAGCACATACTCCAAACATAATAAGGTGAAAGTAAAAGAGAACATTTCAAAATCAAACAAACAAATTTAAGCTTAGTAAAATGGCAGCTACAGTGAAAGTTAGAGCACGTTGTTAAGACTACAATCAATCACATTATGTGGAAGTGGGATTGCTTGAGTAAATTTAGAGTCATTTGCATACAGTGCTCAATGCTCCACAGCAGGCCCCCAGTATCCAGAGGACCTTGGTAAAAGATCAGCAGGTTCGTCCTGGCACTCGCGATATAACCATTGCGCTTTAGCTGTGATTCCAGCACTGCAGAGGTATCTCCTGCAAGATGACCAGGAGCCCAATCAGTATATGTCCTGCCAGTTGAAGGTCTGAGTGAATTAAGGGCTGCCCATAACCCCCAGATATCAGAAGTCCCCCCTAAAGCTAGCAGTGGGGAGGATCCTCCTTTCCATAGCTTGTTTGAGTCTGACAGTCTTGCATATTGTGTATGCTAGTCTTCTTGCTTGCCATAGCTTGCTTAACCTATGCAGCTGCACATTCATGAACAGTTGCAGTGGCAAATGCACCTAGTCAACTGATTGTGAGGAACAATTATCTATTGCGTATCAAAATAAGCCAGGTTTTGGGAAGTAAATAGTCTGGGTAAGTCAGGAATCAAATTAGACATGGTGCCAATACTGAATATACTGACTGTAAACTTATTTATGGTTTACATTCGGTATATTCAGTATTGGCACCATGTCTATTTTGATTCCTGACTTGCCCGGACTACTTACTTTCCAAACCCTGGCTTATTTTCTGCCTAAATTTTGACTGACATATTTTACAAATCTTTTAAATCAAAAATATTTTTTACAGAGGCACTTGTTACAGATTTACAAAGGAAAATCACAGAAGCTTTTAATGTTTTTGACCATGAAAATAACCAAACTGTGGATGTCCGGTAAGTGTGTATGTTTTACAAATTCAGTAAATGGTGACCTTGTTGAGATGTAAAAAACAAGTTTATGTTATCAATTATGAAACATAGCAACCATAGCTCTAACCTAACGTTTTGCCACCTAGCAGTACTTGAGGTTATGAAAAAAAATGTGGAACGAGATGTCCCAAATTTTCCTTGTTTTTGACTATACTGTGTGAAAAAGTAAGTCAATCATACAGCTACATAGAATGTTGTAGTTGGTTCAAGTAAATTAAATGTTTATTATCTAGTCTGCTACACTGTGGTAGAGAAAGGGTTGTCTTTAGAGGGCTACTCCAGCCAAAAACCAGTGTTAAAAAAACATTATTTTATTTGTTGTAACCCTTGCTGGCATGGCTTCCATTTTAAAAATAAATAAATAAATGAAAATGTCATCTGTAATCCGGAGCTTTACATGGTGAGGGGGTATATCCCTTATCAAAATGGTAAATTGATTTTAAAAGTACATGGAGCATGAACAACAGTATCACCTGCAGGAAGTCTTGTAATATCTTTTTTATTGGACTAAGAACTTTGGTTTGACATACTTTCAGAAGATCCACCTTTTCCCAAGACCTTAGACTGGAGAAATGGAGGATCTCCCAAAAGATTGTTATTCCAAATATATTATATACATTAATCAGCCACAACATTAAAACCACTGACAGGTGACATGAATAACATTGGTTATATCATTACAATTATTACAATGGCACCTGTCAAGGGGTGGGATATACTAGGTAGGAAGTGAACAGTCAGTTATTAAATTTCATGTGTGAGAAGCAGGAAAAATGAGCAAGTGAAAAAATCAGAGTGACCTTGACAAGGGCAAAATAGTGATGGCTAGACCACCGAGTCAGAGCATCTCCAAAACGGCAAGTCTTGTGAGGTGTTCCCAGTATGCAGGGGTTAGTACCTACCAAAATAATTGCAAGGAAGGACAACCGGTGAACCGGCGTCAGGGTCATGGGCGCCCAAGGTTCATTGATGGATGTGGGTAGCAAAGGCTAGCCCGTCTGGTACACTTACACAGAAGAGCTACTGTAGCTCAGATTTCTGAAAAACTTAATGCTGGTCATGATAGAAAGGAATCAGACACAAACACAATGCATCACAGTTTTCTTTGTATGGGACTGTGTAGCTGCAGATCGGTCAGATGATGACCATGTGACCATGATGACCCCTGACCCGACTGAAAGAGCCTTCAATTGGGACGTGAGTGGTGAGTGCAGAACTGGGCCATGGAGCAATGGAAGAAGGTTGCCTGGTCTGATGAATCACGATTATTTTTAGATCAGGTGGATGGCCAGGTGTATGTGTGCAGCAGGGATGTACTATGGGAAGAAGGCAGACCAACGCAGGCAGTGTTATGCTCTGCTGGGAAACCTTGGGTTCATGGAACCTGGCATTCATGTGTATGTTACTTGGACACATACCTAAAGATTATTCCAGATCACATACACCCCTTCATGGCAATGGTGTTCCCAGATGGCAGTGGCCTCTTTCAGCAGGATGATGCACCCTGCCAGACTGCAAACATTGTTCAGGAATGGTTTGAGGAACATGACAAAGAGTTGAAGGTGTTGCCTTGGCCTCCAATTTCCCCATATCTCAGTCTGATTAATGACATCAGTTGGATGAGCTGGAACAACAATTCCATGCAACTTCAGGACTTAAAGGATCTGCTGCTAATGTCTTCATGCCAAATACCACAGGACATGTTCAGAGGTCTTGTGAAGTCCATGCCTTGATGCATCAGAGTTTTTTTGGCAGGATGGAGGGACCTATAAGATATTAGGCAGGTAGTTTTAATTTTGTGGCTGATCAGTATGTGTATATATGTACACCTAACACATTAATATTTGTTATGCAAAGCAATGAAAAAGCACCCAGAAGTGACAGTTCCTCTTTAAACCTAAAAATTACAATAATCTGGTACTATCCTATGCGCTTCACCAAGAAATGCAAGATCTCATGATATGATGTATAGTATTAAACAGCCATATGTGTGTACAGAGAAAAAGTAACTAACCTAAAGAGGATGCTTAAAGATAAAAATAAGAATATAAGTATGTATTAGATATTTGGTTCCCTTGAAAATTAAAATCATCCCAAGAACAATAGCCTCAGGATGAATAAAAAATACACATATTTAGTAGCAATAGCATTAAAACCATAAGTGGCCACTAAAGCTATATTGAAAAACAAAAATGCTGCATAAAACGTTTAGCAAAGCATTAACACTTATACCTACGGAAGTAGCCCAGCAATGGCAGAGGAAGACGTTTGAATAATGTGTTACAAAGGATACTTCAAAACAAGATGCAGATATAACAGATATTACAAACAATGTTGCGAGCTCCCAGCAATAATGGAGTTATAGTATCTACTTGTAAGAAAATATCAATTGACATAAAAGAGCTGGATATCCTCAGTACATGTAAGCGACAATGATGATGGTTCCCTTCCGCAGGCTAGTATGAGGCTGGACTGTTCGCTAATTATGGGTACTTACCACCATGCGGATTTAAAGGTACACTATAGTCACCTGAACAACTTTAGCTTAATGAAGCAGTTTTGGTGTATAGAACATGCCCCTGCAGCCTCACTGCTCAATCCTCTGCCATTTAGGAGTTAAATCCCTTTGTTTATGAACCCTAGTCACACCTCCCTGCATGTGACTTGCACAGCCTTCCATAAACAATTCCTGTAAAGAGAGCCCTATTTAGGCCTTCTTTATTGCAAGTTCTGTTTAATTAAGATTTTCTTATCCCCTGCTATGTTAATAGCTTGCTATACCCTGCAAGAGCCTCCTGTATGTGATTAAAGTTCAATTTAGAGATTGAGATACAATTATTTAAGGTAAACTACATCTGTTTAAAAGTGAAACCAGTTTTTTTTTTTTTTTCATTTAGGCTCTGTCAATCATAGCCAGGGGAGGTGTTGCTAGGGCTGCATAAACAGAAACAAAGTGATTTAACTCCTAAATGACAGTGAATTGAGCAGTGAAATTGCAGGGGAATGATCTATACACTAAAACTGCTTTATTTAGCTAAAGTAATTTAGGTGACTATGGTGTTCCTTTAAGTGATACAGAAAATCCACAAGTATAGTGTGCTTTAAATCTGCAGTATGCCAATGTGTGAGTGATATACTCCAAATCTGCAGCAAACATATCTGTGAATGCAATAAATTCAAATACAGCAGTGCACGTGTTAGATCAAAAAGGAGATATGGAGCAATGCTCACTACCTCCTGTCTGGATCGTTCTCTAGCTACTGCAGAAGAACTTTGGATCCCAATAAGATAATTGATCAATTCCACATTGTAGAGCTCTTGGACGAATAAGTAAACAATGATAAAACCTCAGATGAGTGGCAAAAAATAGTAGAATGAATTGCAATAAATTCCGGTTTCCGCATTTTGTCCGTATCTCAGACTTTCTCAAGACCAATTCAATCTCAAGGTGACTTCCCTGGGAGTGTTCTTATAAAAAGTTATTGTCTCAATTAAAAGAAAACCTGGGTTTCTTAAAGGAACATAGCCACAGAGGAGTAAAAAGTTTGGAAAGGTATCCGCATACAGTTGAAACAAGATAATCATACAGATATATTGTTCATAGTACAAGTAAAATAAAACAAAAGGAAAGTTTAGGGACCATAACAACTTCATCTAAATTAGGTTCTTATGGTACCAGGCCCCCCAACTCACACTTACCTCAAGGTTTTAAACAGTTTTTGAGCGGTTTATCCCCAAAGTTGCCTCCAGCGCCGATCTCAGCTCCTCCCTAGGTGACATACAGCTTCCGAAACCACGGTGTGCCACTGGGAAGGGCCATTGCTGATTGGCTGAAAGTGGTTAACTGATGCTCCCAGCCAATCTGTGACTCCCCATTCACAAAACTGATTTGGAAAAGGTACATTTCTTTCCAAGCCACCTTTGTGATTGGCTCAACGTGTCAACTGACAGCTCTCAGTTAATCAGCTAACTGCTGCCTGGTGGCACTATGCGATTCCTGAAAATGACATTTCAGAAGCTCAATGCTGCCTGGAGGGAGCTGAGATCGGCGCTGAAGGCAACTTTGGGATTAAAACGTTTGATGCCTCAGAGAGTCCTTCCTCTTATATGTGCTGTCAGAAGTCTGGTTCAAAACAAGATTCCAGTCACCCACTACCACTAAGACACCCACCAATTTACTCAATGTTCTCTTAATAAACAGGACTTGATGTGTGTTTGGGTCATATAAATTTTTAAAAAGGAAACATAATATCGTTTATACGACCTTTTAACCAAAAGAAAGTGGCACTTGGCCACTCTTTGGCATCCTCCTTGACTGAGATCATCAGAAGTGAAGATCTCAGCCAATCACAATGCTTTCCCATAGGAAATCATTGGATTGGCTGAGATTGTCATTCTGATGATCTCAGTCAAGGAGGTTGCCTAGGGCAGAGCCAAATACCGCCTTCGCCAATCAGCATCTCCTCATAGGTATGCATTGAATCAAAGTATCTCTATGAGGAAAATTCAGTGCCACCATGCAGAGGGTGGAGACATTGAATGTCAGTGCTGAACACCGTGCAGCACTGCCCCAGGAAGCAATGAAGGCATCCCTAGGCTGTAATGTAAACACTGCCTTTTCTCTGAAAGGACAGTGTTTACTGCGAAAGGCCAGGAGGTACTAACTATACTCACCAGAATGAATATATTAAGCTGTAGTTGTTCTGGTGACTATAGTGTCCCTTTAAATTTGGAATCTCACTTTAGTCTGCTAGTCTTAAATTAAAGAGCATTCAATTTAATCTATACATTGTTCTAGCAGAAATGCTAGCAAATGTATATATTTTTATTTAAGACCCCTAAATGCTTTGGACTCCTAGCCACCCATCAATCAAATCCATGACAATAGACTGGCACACAGGATATAATGCATTGGATAGAGTTACAGGGGGAGCACAAAAGTCTTCCCCCAGATGGTTCTTTTGCTCCCTGTCCCTATGTTATTCTTACAGAAGGCAGTCTTCAAGCTTAGTGGCGGATTATGGGGATTACTGATGCCAGCATGTTCGCATCAGCACTGAGGATTTCCATGATTAGGGAAGTCTCACAGGCAGAGCCAATCATAGCAGAGAGGGGTAGTAGTGGAGGGTTGGTGTTACAGCTTCAAAGAATGGTGGTGCTGGAGCGAGTGGCTGCAGGTAAGTAATTCTATAATAGATCATAAATCAATTAACAAGGTTATCCATTAAAGTGAGCATTCAAGGTGAATTCAAAGTTAATTCCATAAGGACAAAATATCCAAAATGGCAAATTATTCCAAATCAATTATGCTTTCAGTTCAGCTCCTATGGCCTTAAATTTTAAATTTAGTTTGAATTCTCACTTTAGTAAATAACTCTGTAAATATATGTCATCTTGTAATAAATTATATATATGACATCACACTCTACTTAAAATAACACTCTAAACACCTAAAACATTTTAGCTTGCTGAAGTGCTTTATGTGTGAAGAATGTGTTCTCTTATTTTCATTTTACAAAGAGCGCCGATTTCAATAGAAATTGTCACTTTTATAAATTATCCTTCCTACACCCCCATAGTTTGTCATTCACACAACCGGTTCTCTTACATTTTGGTAGCTTAGCTCAGAGCACCTGCCTTGAAAAAAAACTTTTATTGAACTGCATTGGGCAGTCTGTAATTAGACTGGGCTGGATTAGAAGGGAGTGCTTGCAAAGGCTTCAGACAAGAGATCTGCAAACAGTTTTTTTTAGGAATACCCTAATGTTGACTCAATGGCTGTTGAGTACCCCTTTAAATCATAGCACAGTCAGGGCCCACAGTACATTAAAAGTGGAGAACCAGAATCTTTGGGGGTACTGTTAAAAAAATATTGTGTTCTGAAACGTGGTCTAAATTACTAAATATAGGGCACTGAGAATGGAAACTACTGAAACCAGCAGAAACATTGCAGGTTCTCAGTGCCCACCCATCACTGGGCCAATGCACCCCCTGAATCCTGGGCCATATAGCGAAAAAACAAAACATAAAAACAGTATTCTTTCCTAGCCGGTCCCTTAACATGAAAATAATAATGTTAGCTAAATAAGCACTTGTTAACATCTGCTGGAGTGATGGAGTTTAGCATTTTGATATGCATGGTTAGCCTATACGGATTTCTACAGTAATCTCCAGTCCCCACTCACAATGTGGACAGAATCACATATCATCACACTTAGAACTATAAATAAAACTGCCTCACAGTTTTGGGTATAATTAACAAATATGCATTTGATTAAGGAGGAAAGTACTTTGATTGACATCACTGAGTAGTGTAAATATCAATTATTGTTTTTTTTATAATACATAGTAAATGAGAAAAGATATAAAGTAAAACTGCAAAAAAGCTGATTTGGATAACTTTTCATGTGTGAAAGTTTTTAACTTTAAACTGTGAATTGGAGGAATTCAATGTGGATACTAGATTTAGAGAATAACCCTTTTGGTATCCCACAAGTTGAGATCAGTGTCTCCGTGATATCCTACAAGTACAGCAACAGTGTCTGTAAAAGGAATATATGCAAATTTTAAACAAAGTTTGAAGCTATAACAATAATGACTAGGTCACAGAGTTTTAAAGTCTGAAAAAGGAAAAAAACAAAAACAAATGTGTAACAAATTGTTATATTTAATGCACTTTGGCTGTACTACACGTTTAAAGTAACACTCCAAGAAGCTCAGCCACTCCAGCATACTCTTTGCTAATGGTTTGAATTCTTATCAAGGGTGCACCGGCTGCCCCTCTCTGCCATTCTGCAGCCAGAAGCTCTCTTTTCTAAGCTAAGCTCGATGGTGCACAGCTTAGCTTAAAGGGGAGACGGAGCAGTCAAATGTTTAGCAAATGGTTTACTGCTAACTGGGGGGAGGGCTCCAGGTCACTCCAAAGCCATATTACTACAGCACATCGTGATATTTATAACACTGTCTATACATTAATCCAATCATTTCATAAGCTTGCATTCCACTGAAAGTCAGTCTTCAGTCAAATTGCTACTCCAACCATTTTTTGCACTGTACTCTAATTAAAAAATAAATAAAAAACAGCAAAAAAGAGGGTTAAACCTTACCTTGAATTTAGTGCCGGGCCAAGTTCTCCCATGATTGTGTCCCAGCTTTCCCTGTTGTCACGCAGCGTCATCCTCTTTCTGTCCATGCTCCAGTCAAATGCTTCTCATAGAAAAGCATTGATGGACCACTGAATGCTATAACACCGTGAGTGAAAGTTCATCTCACCCATAAAGACACCTTCCCCCCAGTCAATAAGAAAAGGAAGGATGGAGGGCGGTACAGAGGATAGTATAGAACAGTATAGAACAGAGTTCCGGGCTCTCTATTCATGTGTTTCGGGATATAATTACACCCCTGCACAAAATGATATATATCTTTGTATAGGCAGCTTTTCAACTAAAACGCTTCAGGTACAAATTGCATGCACTATTACCACTTCTAATAGTAGGAGTGGTCATGGTAGTTGAAACAACCTTTTAAAATCTGCTTGAGCTGCAAAAAAACTGCACTTCATGATGTCCCCGCTGGTCCACGAGGCATTTTTTTCTCTCGCTTTCAAGAGGACCCAAAGACCTTATGTCATTGGGAGAGATGCTCTTTTCAACTTCTTGATCACACATGTCATATATTATTTGCTTTTATGTGGCACTAGCCTTCTTATTATTACAATGGTGGCAGGGGCATGTTTATCTCAATGATGGCCTCACAGTTTTCAGCATAATGCAAACAATGCAATGGATGCGAGGTCACCCACTGCATCACTATAGGTTCTAACTTTTAAATGATATCTTTTTGAGACCAATGTGATTCACATATTTATTTCCCTGGGACTTAAAACATAAAATGAAATAATATTAATGTGATATCTTTTTAAAATCTCATTTACAGTTATGACGATTTAGCATCCTATTACCCTATGATTTATCATACAGCTATAGCAATACACAAAATTACATTATTCAAATCAAAGGGCTGCATTCTGTGTGAACATTCCCATATCTACTAACAGAATTTGTTGTTCTTTGTAGAGAGGTTGGGACAATCATAAGATCTTTAGGATGTTGTCCAACTGAAGGGGAACTCCATGATATGCTGGCCGAGGTAAGATTCTAGGACTTCTAAGGTGTAAAGTACCATTGTTTTCAAACCTATTCACTTGTGATGATGTAATTTTGTCTGGTTTTAGTTCTGAAAATCAAAGGTCATTTCCTGAAAAGTTAGTTTAGTATGAGGTGCTAATAAAGGCGTACATTAGCATACAACATAGGTACTAATCCATAAAGTTTTCTGACTTTCGTCTGGTATCAAAGCAGTTACCAAAGCGATCATAGTCCACACTATACAAACCTTTATTTCTGCAGGCAACACTGGCACATTTAGAAAATATTATTGTCCTAAAACCAGGTTTTTAAATGTGATTTCACTGTTTAACCATAGCCAACAATTTAAGGCCATAGTCGCTGAACTAGAAGCATAATTGACTTGAGCGTTTTCCAGTTGGGCTGTTTTAACCTTAAAGGGACACTCCAGGCACCAGTAAGTGTTAGGCAGAATATTGCACCATAAGTCTGCCTCCTTATCAACTCCCTCTCATGCCAAAAAGATGTCCTTACCAATGGTATGCACAAAATCTCAGCCCCAACAGCACTAAGTGAGCTCTTTTTAATTCACAACCTAGCTGTAGACAGTCAAAGAAACTGCAAACACAGATATTGATATCCGTACTATATGCTTCCCTGGGTGTCCTCTCCTTCTAGTGCAGGTTGTTTTGTTGTTTAAATCATTAAGTACTGGCAGTGGCTGGGCTGTGTGCATACTATTTTGATAAAGAAGTCTTTTTCTGGAGTGAGGATGTGTGGCATAAATGGCAGGCTTATGGTGCAGCATTCTACAACTCATTTATTGGTACCCGGAATTTCCCTTTTAATTTTAATTTACTTTCATTTCTCACTTTAGTGAATTAACCCTGTGTGTTGGAATTTCATTAAACTTCCAATGCATTCAAAAGATAAAGGAACTACTTTTTTCTTATGTTAAAATCCTACCTTGACAAAAGGTGGAACCAGGGCCGTCTTTAACGTGGGGCAAACAGGGCAGCTGCCCTGGGCCCTGTTACAGCTTGGGGGACCAAGGCAGATGTTCTATTTGCCTTCTAACCGCAACAATTTCTTTTGGGATCACCGATCCTAACATAAATTGTTGCGGGCAGCGGGCATACCTGCACCTGAGAAAGACCTAATACTGGTTGAAACATGTTGTGCTAGAATTTGATTTGTTTTTAAAACTAATTGTTAATAAATACTCATCTTTTTTTTTTTTTTTTTATTCTTTTTTTTTTATTGTGCAAGTATCAACATTCAAGCTTCAGATGCCACATCAGCATTATCCAGCATAGTATAACAGATAAAGGGTATTATTAGTATGGCATCAATAGAAGTTGCACATTTTTATATTATAATGATAACAGGCGCGGAACAATAACATAACAAATGTCAGTTAGTGAAGTAAACAACCTGGTGTGGTAAGCAATCCATATTAACTGACGTATTTATAATCAGTATTAGTTTAACAAGCATGAGTGTACGTGTCTATAGTTCCTGAAGCTGTTTCAGCGCATTTTATGGTTATGGTACGAGAGAGCTATGGCGCAGTCTGGCGGTGTCAGTGACAGTTAAATCTGCGAATGCCTGCCTACGTGTCTACGATTAAGGATAGGTTGATACTGAGGCAGTATGTGAGAGCATGTGTGCATCAGTTGCTCAGTGTTTGCTTTGCTCGTGTTATCTTTTGAACCAAGTAGGTTCAGCTTGATCCACTGTAGTGGAGTAAATAAAAAAAGAAAAAGAAAAACATAAAGGAACTCTGCATGAGAAGCAGAAAGTGCACATGGTAGCATAAATCTTGCTGGAGGGTTTGGTCTGCATATAGGGTCTTGCCCATAAGGTCCTTTGTGATAGGTGTGGGAGTCCAGTTAACGTTTGCTGGGGGGTATGGAGAGGCAGGGTATTTTGGCGTGTTGAGCCTGGTGCTTCACATGTGGATATTCCTGGTGTCCTTTAGGCGATGCCTTTCAGGGGAAAGTCAAAGTCCCATCTTGTGGAGCTAAGTATCCAGCTCTGTGAGGCAAGTCCCAATAAGTGAGTGCCTTGATGGTATGTCAGACGGTGGGGGGCATTCAACCTTCCGTTGCGTATTGCCATCTGGTTGGTGGGTCTCCCGCCTAATTTGTGGGTGCCTTTCTGCTTTGACCGTTTGTATACTGCCTTCTTCCGTTGGCGGCATTGCAGCTTGATGCGGGCTACCCCAGGGCTCTGAGCTCTGCGTCTGCCGCCGGGGATTCCGAGTGCTTGTGCAGGCAGGTAAGTCTCTAGGGGCGTCCGGATGGCTGGTCCCTGGCTACTCTTGGTGTGTCTCCACACTGTGGTCCTTTTCTGGTGTTTGACCGTCTTGGGAGCGGAGTCTAGGGGGATCCCTTTGCCCCTCTCTGCAACCTCCCTAGTCCGGCCCTGTATTGTGCTATCGGGTGGTATCTCTGGTGTCGGGGGCCCAGAAGTACCTCTAGCTTCTCCCACAATAATCCGAAGATGTAGTTTAGTCTGGTCTCTGTTTCTCTGGCAGCATAGCAGTAGGCTGTGGTGCTCGATTTGTTCGCCATTTTGTATGTCTTAGTCACGACCTCCGGACATTGCGCCAGTCTCACATGGGGATAGCTTGTCTATGTGCTTGATTGGGGGTAGCCCGGGATAAACCCCACCGGGCCAAAGGGGGGGGGGGGACGAGGGCTCCAAGACAGGGTTCCAGTCGATTTTGAACTTCAGGAGAGCGTCCGGCTCTCCCGCATGCGCCATATTAGTAGGCCCTGCCAGGGTGACGGGTGCGTACCTCTTAAGTTGGAAGTTGATTGGTGTCTGCGTGTGCACCCCGGTGTACCCCTGCACTGGGTAATCTTTGTTTGTCGTTTTGTTGTCGTTTTATTTTCTTTATCTTGCTTTTGCCGTTCCTGGTGGCCGGAGCTGCTGAGGCAAGCGTCCTCTCTGCTCTGTGGCCAGGCCCCGCCCCAAATACTCATCTTCTAACACTTACCTCGGACTCTGGCGTTCCTGTGTTGCAGCAGTGCCGAGTTCCTGAGGCGTGTGACTATTGGAAATTCCACTTAATAGCTCCTTGATTAGATGAAAAGTGCCATAAGTACCGAGCCAACTTTAAATGAGCTCTGAAAATTGTGAGTTTGCTGAAAATCTCTTTACATACATATACTTTCTTTATACAGGTTACACTATGTGTGTGTTTTAATTTATTTAATACAGGAAAAAGAAACTCCATTGTATTGGTTACCAGAGAAATATTGTTTATAAGGTAAACCAAAAGTTTTCTGCGTCCGCAAATCACCTTATCTGTTTTCCAATTTTATAACGTTTTAAGTGTAAATAGTGACATTGCACTTGGGTAATTTTTAGCTGCACCGGAATTTTATCACAATAAGCGTCACCCTGTCTTTCATTCTACTACCTCTAAGGTTAACTCAGCATATCTGTACCCACAGATCACCACACACTAAACAGCGGTATCACCATCTGGGTGTCTTCTCAAAATACGCAAAGATGCCATAAAGTGACTGTCAGAATACCTGTCCCTTGCAGCGCCATGTGATCATGGAAGTGATGTCTCTGCTATGTTCTAAAGCACACCCACTCATCCCTAGCGCCTCATTAAGACATAATATATGACATGGAACCCTCCAATTGATCTTGTTTTATAATGTCAGTCTTTGTAGCTCTTTGTGTTTATGTGCTGTAACCATCATAACCCCATAAAGAGTATATACAGGGAGTGCAGAATTATTAGGCAAGTTGTATTTTTGAGGATTAATTTTATTATTGAACAACAACCATGTTCTCAATGAACCCCAAAAACTCATTAATATCAAAGCTGAATATTTTTGGAAGTAGTTTTTAGTTTGTTTTTAGTTATAGCTATGTTAGGGGGATATCTGTGTGTGCAGGTGACTATTACTGTGCATAATTATTAGGCAACTTAACAAAAAACAAATATATACCCATTTCAATTATTTATTATTACCAGTGAAACCAATATAACATCTCAACATTCACAAATATACATTTCTGACATTCAAAAACAAAACAAAAACAAATCAGTGACCAATATAGCCACCTTTCTTTGCAAGGACACTCAAAAGCCTGCCATCCATGGATTCTGTCAGTGTTTTGATCTGTTCACCATCAACATTGCGTGCAGCAGCAACCATAGCCTCCCAGACACTGTTCAGAGAGGTGTACTGTTTTCCCTCCTTGTAAATCTCACATTTGATGACGGACCACAGGTTCTCAATGGGGTTCAGATCAGGTGAACAAGGAGGCCATGTCATTAGATTTTCTTCTTTTATACCCTTTCTTGCCAGCCACGCTGTGGAGTACTTGGACGCGTGTGATGGAGCATTGTCCTGCATGAAAATCATGTTTTTCTTGAAGGATGCAGACTTCTTCCTGCACCACTGCTTGAAGAAGGTGTCTTCCAGGAACTGGCAGTAGGACTGGGAGTTGAGCTTGACTCCATCCTCAACCCGAAAAGGCCCCACAAGCTCATCTTTGATGATACCAGCCCAAACCAGTACTCCACCTCCACCTTGCTGGCGTCTGAGTCGGACTGGAGCTCTCTGCCCTTTACCAATCCAGCCACGGGCCCATCCATCTGGCCCATCAAGACTCACTCTCATTTCATCAGTCCATAAAACCTTAGAAAAATCAGTCTTGAGATATTTCTTGGCCCAGTCTTGACGTTTCAGCTTGTGTGTCTTGTTCAGTGGTGGTCGTCTTTCAGCCTTTCTTACCTTGGCCATGTCTCTGAGTATTGCACACCTTGTGCTTTTGGGCACTCCAGTGATGTTGCAGCTCTGAAATATGGCCAAACTGGTGGCAAGTGGCATCGTGGCAGCTGCACGCTTGACTTTTCTCAGTTCATGGGCAGTTATTTTGCGCCTTGGTTTTTCCACACGCTTCTTGCGACCCTGTTGACTATTTTGAATGAAACGCTTGATTGTTCGATGATCACGCTTCAGAAGCTTTGCAATTTTAAGAGTGCTGCATCCCTCTGCAAGATATCTCACTATTTTTGACTTTTCTGAGCCTGTCAAGTCCTTCTTTTGACCCATTTTGCCAAAGGAAAGGAAGTTGCCTAATAATTATGCACACCTGATATAGGGTGTTGATGTCATTAGACCACACCCCTTCTCATTACAGAGATGTACATCACCTAATATGCTTAATTGGTAGTAGGCTTTCGAGCCTATACAGCTTGGAGTAAGACAACATGCATAAAGAGGATGATGTGGTCAAAATACTCATTTGCCTAATAATTCTGCACTCCCTGTATACTTGCTGGTTGTCCTTGTTTCCTTGCCATGTCTTGGTTTCTATTTACCTGAGTGTGTTTTTGTCTATACTTACCTTGGTTTTTGACTTTGGTTTGCCTGACTATTCTTGCTCTCTGTTATGCTGACCTTGGCTTGTTTCTCATTTCCGTGTACCTCTGATATCCCTGACCTTGAGCTTTTTACGTTTATTCTGTCTCTTCTTGCAGACATTCTGCCTTATATTTTAAGTGCTAGCTAGCTATTTTAAGGACCTGTACACAGTCATACTTTTATCTTTAACCTAGGTTTGTATGTTAGGTCAGGTCAGGCTTGAAAGTAACAGGGCCTCTTTATCCGTTAATGACTTTAGGACGTGTCAGTACATCCTAACTATACCGGGCGTACTGTTTTGGTGTGAACAGGGTTAAATCAGGTTCTAATGCTTTGGTGTGAACATGGTTTAATCCCTGTTCACACCAAGGAGTCCTAGGTATCAATCGATACCTTGGGCTGTCGTCTGTCAAATATGGCAACATTTAACCCCTTAAGGACCAAACTTCTGAAATAAAAGGGAAACATGACATGTCACACATGTCATGTGTCCTTAAGGGGTTAATAGTCCCAGTCTGACCAATGAGCTGAATGCAGTACTTAAAAGGAGCACTCTATACAGCCTTTAAATCCTTGTGAAACACCATAGCTGAGCATATTGCACTTAGCTGGACTGACAGATGTTTAAAAGGGACACCCAGAGCCTGGACAGACCCTGAAACAGTCTTCCATCATGTCCCCTTTGCCAGCTGTAATTGGTGCTGGGCTTTGCCAACTGCACAGCACCTACCACAGTGGAGTCAGCACTCTGGAGATTCAGCATTACAGCTAAATGCATGGGATGCTGAAAACAGCCAGTAGATTGTGGCAACATACCACTCTACTAATTTTTTAACTAGTAAACCTAGTAAATATATATGATATTGAAAGAAGCTTATTTCTGTCCTTTAGAAGGCGATATGTAATATGTATGGGAGCACTAGAGAAACCCTTAATGTACTGTTGAACAAACTTGTAGAGCAAATTCTAGGTTTTGTTTTGGTTCAGAACTTGGACAATTGCCTCTGTCCTTAAGTTATTAAGTGACAGCAATGTTAAAATTTGCTATTTAATGGCCATACTTTATATGTATACATTATTCCAGAATGCCTAAATCTGTAGTACCATATACTTGCATCTTTTCTATATCTCCCAAATGTACGTGTTTGGGATGGAGTCCTTTGGCACTCAATTATGTGTGTGGGGAGGGGGGTGTAATGGTGCAATAATTTTGGGAGGATTAGCTACACAAAAGATCCACCCTACTATCATTAGGAGAGGAGCTTTCCGTCCCACCAAGAACAAAACAATAAACTCTAGGAACTATATTTATGCCACAGGTCTGAAGTTCAAGCCTCCTGAGTATTTGACTTTGGATAACCTTATTCTAGCTGGGTGGATTATCCATACGAACTGTCTAACCTTGTTGTTCAAGGCTTTCCTATCCTTCCTGGAAGCTCTTGAAAAAAAGTATAGGAGTTTTGGGAAGCTTACAATCTTGCCCATAAGTGAATGTGGAAGAGATTGCCATCTACTCAGCTCGTTATATAATGGTTGTAATATAGCTGGTATGTTAGTTTGGTATAATGTGGAGAGATATTTATGGATGTTAACTCTGAGGTATTTTAGTGTAGTTCGGGTTCAGGTTAATGGAATGGAGGATTGAAGAGAGGATGGAGAACCTCTGCCTAGGTAAATGGCTTTTGAATTAGACAAATTTAGTGCAAAATCCATTGTATTTTGGTAGTCAGTTAATAAGTGGTGTATAAAGGGTAGGGAGTGGTGTAGATTGCCTGTGAATAAGAGCCAGTCATTAAAGAAAGCTGAGACCCTCAACACAGTCACCCGATGGGATACCTTGATAGCCAGAAATGCCGTCTATAACTCTAAGGAGTAAATCCAAAGCTATATTAAACAGGAGAGAGGATAGTGCCTAACCCCCCTTCCTAATGTAAAATATGGGGAATTCAGGTTATTTGTTGTTATACAAATCTGGGGCCTGTTCTTTAGTTTTTTTTATGAATGCCACAAAGGTGATTCCAAAGTAGCAAAGCTTGAGAACTTTTATTAAGTTTGACCAAGCCACTGTGTCATAGTGTCAAATGCTCATCAGAGAGGGACAGTCGAAAGTGGATTCCCCACCCAAAGATCAAGCTACCTCTACCAGAGCCCATCCACTCCCACCACCAAGTGTTGCACGTGGAACGCTACCAGGTGTTGAGTTAATATGTGAGGAAGGAAGCTCTGGAGACAGAAGGCCAATATACCTGATAGAATTTTCATATCAAGATTCGGAAGTAAAATAGGCCTGTAGGAGTTCTTGTGAGTGTGGTGTCTGTCCGGTTTGGGTATTAGGACCATCTGAGGTAGATTGAGGGAGTCCACTGAGTGGCCATCTAGGTATATATGATTGAATAGTGGAGTTTAAACAGTGCCAATACAAAGCTTCAAGATTTGAAAATGTTCTGCTGTGAGGCCGTCAAAACCAGGGGCTTTTCCATTATGAAAGGAGGCAATGGCGTTTTGTGCTTCCTGATCAGTTATAGGGTTATTCAGGAGTTAATGATATTCTTTGTCTGAGAAACATTTTTTAAAAACCTTACCTTTCAGATGATTATCTGATGTTGAAGTGTATAGGGCCTTGAAGTGGAACAGGGCATTAATCTGGGTGTGGAATGTCATTTTTATCCCTTGTGATAATATAATAGAGGTAATTGATTTAAATTTAGTGATTGGATTGGCCATGCTCACCAACAATCGTCCGGGCCTTCCATCACAGCAAATGAAGTGTTGCCTCTGGTAGCTTGTTTACACTTATTAAGCAACGAGTCTTCTGCTGTCTGTTTTGCTGTTGTTTAAGTGTATTCTAATTGAAACACATTGAGCGTGTTTTGAAGTGGTAATAAATAATAAATCTCAGTGCCATTTTTTTTGTGGAGATTACATATTAGATCATTTGTCCCTGAAGTACTGCCTTTGAGGTAACTAAGTAACTGTGGGTCATCAGAATAAAGTTGTTGTCTTTAAAATTTCACCAACTAAATTTGGTGTGAGTTTGGAAGGAAGGATTTGGAGATCCAGGTGTGTATCTGGATCTTTAGAAATGTGTCAGTTCTTTGCTCTGTGAATTTCTTGCAGCAAGGAGATGATGTGTGGTTGGTGGGCCGCCAAGTCGGTGAGAATTTTCTTTCGATTCATTAGAGGGTTGGCATCCCGCACATTCCATGAAAGGAAGATTCTGAAGATATTATGTATGCATTCAGAGAGGTAATTTTATCCAATTCCCTATTTCGGCTTGCCTCCAGGAGGTTTTTGATATTTTAGGATCAGACTCCGAGCGAGCTGGTAGTCCTGGGGAAGATTGAGCCAACAAAAACAGTAGCCTTGCTGCAAGAACTTTGTACAGGTATGAAAGAACTGTTCCATGATTAGCCTTGACTTCATTCTTCCAGGTGTGGTGAAGCCTGTGGTGGGGAAACAGGACATGGTTGAGGAAGAGGTCAGCTTCAGTGACTGAGGTGGTATAGAGGGACCTTCACACATTTTGCAGGTGTAATGTGGTTTGGTATGTTAGGGCTAATTGGATGCCTTTTTTGTAAATTTGAATGCAGATTGGGGCCAATGCTTTTCTTTTCTGGGCTTAAGAATAATTGACTTTGGTATACAAGTTGTTTAGGGTCTTTTTTAATGCTGTTAAGATCTTTGTGATGTTGTTGTAGTTGAGAAATTTTACTATAACAGGACTTGGTTTAGTGAGATCCTTGTTTTGTTCTGTGCCCACCCAGTGAGCTCTTTCAATGGGTAGTATGGGATCTGAAGAGCCAGATAGGTCAGGCGACTCTTGCATCCAGGTTTGAATGAACTGTAAAAGTTCTTGAGGAATGCCTAGGAGGTTATTTCTCCTAATTTGATTTTTCAGATTATCTAATTTGTCTTGTAGAGTTGTTACTGTGGATTGTTGAAACTGGTAGGAGCTTAACAAGGGAACAGTAGGCAATGGTTCAAAATTGTAAACAGGTGTAACATCACCACTTAAGCCAGCATTGGTGACAGTTGTGACCTCGGGTATTTTTGAATAGTTAGGAGGGGAATCAGCACTTTTGGTATAAATACCCATAAAAATTCTGCAAGGTAATTTTTTTCATTCAGAGTTTGACTAAATTCACTTGACCAGGTGATCGGTGGTGATATTTGGCTTGGAATGGAGGTTTGTGGAGAGGTAGGTGTTTTAAAAATCAGTTCTGTAAAGTCCTGTAAAAATTCTGCAAGGGGTTACCATACAGCCAACATCCAAAATAAAATGTTATCCTTCATAGCTTTTGATGTTTAGCTGTCAGCACTAGGGTATAGGATTATGTTAGGAAACTATCAGGATGCGCCAGTATCTTTGGGCTAATGGCTCGTAAAAATTATCCCACTGTGTGCAGTAATTCACTTGTGGCTCATATTCTGAGGGTTGATGGTAGTGATGGGAATGGGCGTTGGATTGGAAAGTTACTCCCAGTGTGGCTTTTAAGGGATGAGTTTCTTGGTGGTGGAAGACTGGAGACAGCCAGACTAAGACTGTGCTCAAGGTGGAGAGTGATAAAAGAACTAATTGAACAAAAGTATGTGCAGGGTTTGGCTGGCGGTGTTTGCACTACCTTGTCAGGGACGGTTAGAGAGGGTGCTTAGGGGGTGAGTGTGGAAGCAGGTGCCTGCAGTGGCATTATTGGCATCAGTGGTGAAGGCCTGATGTGTTTGGAGTTGCAGGCCCTGTCAATGCCTTGCATGTAGGCCTGGACTTCCAGTTTGGGGCCAGAGGAATCCTACAGAATGCCTTTCAAAAAGGTATGAGCGTGAGGGTTGGCTTGTCGACTCCTCAGTGAGGTGTTTTTTTGGACCTGTTGGTGGCAGTTTGGGGGCCAGATGGCTATATATGAATATTGTGGCTCGGAGGTCTCGAGGTGTGGTCAGTCAAGATGGCGGCGAAACCTGAAGTCTCATCCCACCCAATTTTAACATTACTTTCATCCCGTTTTGTAGTGACATTTTAAATGTTGTTCTTGTGAACATCAGTGTAATGTCACGGCGTTCTTATAAATGCAACAACATTATGGAATTGCTATAAATTAATTTTGGAAATCTGAAAACTATATTTACATAATTTAACTGGTCTGTATTTATTATCAGAACACAACTATTTTGACCTAAATTTTTCAGATTTGGCTTGAATTCAATAAACTTTATAATTTTGCATGCTTTAAAATATTCACTCAGCTTGCCAGGATTAGATGACAGAAAAAAATACATTAGTTTACCAGTCATAGAATCTTTAGTGGTGCTATAGCTCCATCTAGTGGTGTGAGCATAGAACAAACTAAATGCAGCATGTACCAGAGATTTTCATTTGCCATTATTGTCGTTTGGAGCAAATGTAAGTTTACAGGAGCTTATACACTAAAGTCCTAATGCACCCAGTCTAAATTTGCAAAATGTATATGGATCTGTCCAAGGACATTCTGGTGGCAAAATCTGTTGATACTCTTTAACAATGTCATGATAGAACTACAATTTCATTCAAAACTTTACCTCCCCTAATTTCTGTTCATCCAGAAAAAACTTGGTGCTTCGCAAAGAAAAAAGGATTGGGGGAACTCCAGAAAAATGGTGCTTCCGTAGTGACCAATATTAATGCATGATACAAATTAAATTACTGGATATGGAATCAAGACCATATTCCTTTTGGGGTTAAGCACATCACTCAAGCCTACAGCTTCAGAGGCCCCTTTGGAGGTGACCACAGGTGTGTTTTGGATAGAAATGTCACTTTTATTATAATCTCCATTTAGCACATATTGATTTGCATTGTGAGTATATCCATCCACTAACACTAACACTTTAATTGTTTAGTTTTTAGACTGTTTTTAATTGCCTTTATCTCATTAATTTTGTATACTCACAATGCTCTTACAATAGATTAACTTAATATACTTTATCTTATTTAGAACTATTTATATGTCTCCCACATTTAGATTTAGTTTAGGACCCACCGACATTGGGATACTGTGAAGAAGTGGTGGGCTTAACACAATATGGCCATATGGTGGAACTGAATCCCCATATTTTGTCTTCTGAGATAGGCGATTTAAGTAGCCTTATAAGAATATTAGTGTATTTTTTATGTGTGCGCTGTAATTGAATTTGTATAAAAACCTTGTGCTTCGTGAATAACCCTTACAACAAAGGCCAACTACTACAACTACTAGTAATTTATATACTTTTGTTGGTTTGTTAATATAGGTATTAATTACACAAATATATTCATAAAACACGAACAGTTTGGTATGTTTTTTGTTTGTATGTTAAAAGAGCCATTTGATCCCAATAATAACCTCTGCTTATTATAGTTGTGATTGAAGCAGTAGTGTCCGGGTGCCATCTTTCCTTTGTGGTAAAACTATTTTAACACAGTTTAACTTTGACGTTTATCCCCTTGTAGCTGACACCGCAACCCCTGAATTCCTCCCTCATGGCTGCCACTGTATGCTTAAAGGATCACTATAGTGTCAGGAAAACAAAGCGGTTTTCCTGACACTATAGTGCCCTGAGGGTGCCCCCACCCTCAGGGTTCCCCTCCCGTTAAAACCCCTTCAGCAGCTTACCTTAATCCTGCGCCGGGCTCCCTCGGCCCTGGTGACCTCTCCTCCCCCGCCGACGTCAGCTGCCCCGTCCGATGTCAGCGGAGCCAAATGCGCATGCGCGGCATGCGCATTCAAAGTGTCCATAGGAAAGCATTTCTCAATGCTTTCCTATGGACGCTCGGCGCGATGGAGGCATAATATGCCTCCAGCGTCGCAGATGCGCCTCTAGTTGGGGCTGGCTTAACCCCAAGTGTAAACATTTCTCTGAAACTGCTCTGTTTGCATCTGAAGGGTTAAAACCTGAGGGACCTGGCACCCAGACCACTTCATTGAGCTGAAGTGGTCTGGGTGACTATAGTGTCCCTTTAAGATTTTGGCAGGTGACCAGTGATTACACTGGCCGTACACTGAAAGAAATCATGCATATTATTCTTTCAATTGGCTTCTATTGGTAAGCTAAAAGCATCAATTTGACATTTTTAGGATATCTCTGGCCACTCGGCAAAACCTTCCTCATACTGTGGCATCCAGGAGAGGGAAGGTCATGTAGCACTGGGGGACCACAAGGTTAAAAATGCTGTAAAACAGTTTAACATTGCAAGGTAAGGCCTTAAAAAGATAAAAATGGTTATGGATTGGGAGTGTTCGTTTAACAAATACAATTACAAATTTCACAAATCTGACCACAAGTTGTGGGTTCACAACAAAAGCTTCAATTCCAGACCTTTTTTCTGCTTACTTGATGAAGAAATTCAGAGGAAATAGCCCACGCCTGTCCATGAAACAGCTTTTGAGTCAATTATCCAGTTACTTTTGGCCCGTTGAAAAAGAGGGGGTTACATATTAAAGAGCTGTAATTCCTAAACTCTTACTCCAATTTGGATGTGCACTGCATTTTAAGCTCATATTCATTATTTAACTGTAACTTGAATTTATTTTGGTAAACATCCGAAATAACAAATATTTCCAGACCTAACTGTATGTTTAAATATTTATAGACACACTTTAATGTTTCAGGGCCCTATAAAATTATATAAAAATATGATACACTTATCAGGGTTACCCCCTTTTTCTGTCCTGGATCCTCCCCCTACAAACAAGCTTCCAACTTCTCTACTTATGATACACTTGTAGATTGATTTTTCACTAGGTTATATTAAATGTGAAGTTAAATCAGGCTTACTTATATATTGTTGTACTGTATATATGCAATATATTTCTTCTGCTGTATTACTGTTATACTGTTAAATTTCAGGTAGAGGAAGAAGAACCTACTGGCTCTATCCGATTTGAAAAGTTCCTACCAATGATGACAAAAGTATTACTAGAAAGAAGGTATGAGATTATAGTTTGCTAATAGTTTACAAATCATGTTTAAAGAAAGAGTCCGTCATTATAAATAAATCAGTTTATATTTAGTACTTAATTGTTCTGTTGCCACTTTAGATTATATCTGCCCCCCAAACCCAAGATCTCTAATACGTTTGCAGGAGGATCCCTCACCACAGCTCTCTTCCTTCCCTTTGAGATGATCTCCCAGCCAATCCAATACTTCTCAAAGAGAAACATTGGGACAATTACAATATTTCTGATTGAAAAGCATTGAAACCAATGCTTTTCTGTCAGAATCCCCACATCTGCTCATGTGCTTGGGTGAGGACTAATCTAGGTACAGTGATACAATGAACCTTAACAAATCAGGGTTTAGATAAGGATCCATGTGTATTCTCAGGACAGGTAGTTCAGGATAAGTAATCTCTGACATTCCAATATTTATTCACTCATGGAGGCCTCTTGGGGTTAGGTCTTTTAAAGTAGTTTAGGCTGCATCTCGAGAAATGAAAGTATGAAAAACAAAGTAAGCAAGAGTTTCAGTGGTTCACAAGGCGCAAAAAAAAAACAACCAAACTCGAACAAATTATAAAAACAAACGGAAAAAAAGAGAGTAAAATATACCTATCTGTAATATAGTTTCTCAGTTGTCCCCTACAAAACACCACAGAAAAAGTATTGCCTAGCCCCAACAACAAGTCTGAAGGCATCAGAAGCCGTACAAATGCAGTTTTTTTGTTGTTGTTTTTTTTAAACAAACAGAATGTATTCTTAGTGGCTAGATGGTACTAAATTGAGTAAGGAGGGGGATGGGCAGGGGTATATTCTGCTTTCCTGAGGGTGTCCGCAGCATCTGGGAATGCCTGTTTGTAGTGTTGGTTAGTTCCGTAGAGCAGGTGACTTATTGTGCTGCAGGGTCCCCAGGCTTGTGATGTTCAGGTGAGTCACGGTGTGTCAGGAGGTGTATATCTCCAGAAATCATTTGACCTCTCCAAATGTCAGGCCTGTTGTTCAGGTGATGGCCTTATGAGGTGGCATGTTTGCTGAGGACCGTGGTGTAAAGTCAGGTCACATTGGTTCCGATTGTGCTGGGAGCCGCACGGAAGCCCATATCTTGCAGATGCCTCTCCAGCTCCTGGTATGTTCCGGCCTTGCGGTGGATCCCCTGGGATGTAAATAGAAGGGCTCTTGGTGTGCCCCATATGTATGTGATGGAGGCCTCTATATTTGAAGCAAGGTCTAGTTACCAGTGGGGTACCTCAGGGATCTGTACTTGGACCCATTCTCTTTAATATTTTTATTAGTGATATCGCAGAAGGTCTTGATGGTAAGGTATGTCTTTTTGCTGATGATACTAAAATTTGCAACAGGGTTGATGTTCCAGGAGGGATAAGCCAAATGTCAAATGATTTAGAAAAATTAGAAAAATGGTCAGAGCTGTGGCAACTGACGGTTAATGTGGATAAGTGCAAGATAATGCACATTGGACGTAAAAACTCAAGGGCAGAGTATAGGATATTTGATACCCTACTAAACTCAACATCTGAGGAAAGGGATTTAGGAGTAATTATTTCAGATGACTAAAAGGGAGGCAGGCAATGTAATAGAGCAGCTGGAAATGCTAGCAGAATGCTTGGTTGTATAGGGAGAGGTATTGGCAGTAGAAAGAGAGAAGTGCTCATGCCATTGTACAGAACACTGGTGAGACCTCACTTGGAGTATTGTACGCAGTACTGGAGACTGTATCTTCAAAAGGATATTAATACTTTAGAGAGTTCAGAGAAGGGCTACTAAACTGGTTCATGGATTGCAGGATAAAACTTACCAGGAAAGTTTAAAGGAACTTAACATGTATAGCTTGGATGAAAGACTAGACAATGAGGATATGATAGAAACATTTAAATACATAAAGGGAATCAACTCAGTAAAGGAGGAGACTATATTTAAAAGAAGGAGAACTACCACAACAAGAGGACATAGTCTTAAATTAGAGGGGCAAGGGTTTAAAAACAATTTCAGGAAGTATTACTTTACTGAGAGGGTAGTGGAATGGAATAGCCTTCCAGCTGAAGTGGTAGCGGTTAACACAGTGAGGGAGTTTAAGCATGCATGGGATAGGCATAAGGCTATCCTAGACTTAAGATAAGACGAGAGACTAATTAAAAGTATTTTGAAATATTGGGCAGACTAAATGGGCCGAATGATTCTTATCTGCCGTCACATTCTTTGTTTCTATGTTTCTCTAATACGGCGACCCTTTTTGGCACGCTTTCCACGGCTTCTTTGATGCGGGCCATATCTGCTGAGATGTTGGAACGCTGCTCAGCGAACATGCTCTTGAGTAGGGTTGCAGTCACAGGGTCCCGATCCTCTGTCTGTGGAGGCCACGGTCCCGATTTCGGGCCACTTGAGACCCGAATGCAGTTTTATTGAGGTAGATCAGAAAATGTTGTGCCAGGATACAGTTGTCCTTTAATATAAAACATAATTTTTGTAACAAATAGTATACTTTACTATTTTCATTAAGCACCATTTGTACTTTTATCCAGTCACCTCTGATTTACATGTTGCTTTTATTTCTGTTTTATTACAGATATCGACCAGTTACTGAGGATGTTCTTCTTCGGGCATTTGAGGTTTGTTTTCAATTGAGTGGTTAAATATACCAATGTACTTTGACACTATGACCAAATTGCTATTTCTTCCTTTTTCAGGTTTTAGATGAAAGCAAAAAAGGATACTTAACTAGAGATGAGCTTGTCAAGTATATGTCTGAAGAAGGTAATACAAACCTCTTGTTTTGACTTTTGCATATATTATAGTTGTTTACGCCACCATTGGGAAGATGCTATACTATTTTAAAGTATCTCATCTCTTAAAAAGGAACTGTCACTTCCTCCATTTTAGCACAAACAAAAAGTTAACTGTAGGCTGTGCTAAATTTATTTTAAAGTCTTTTATAGTTTATTTTATTTTCATTTAGATGCTTTGATTGGCAAATAGTATGTAAATAAGTTAACCCTTACTGTGCTGTACACATGGTGCACACAAGAAAGTGCTGAGCACGTGTGCATGTACAGCATTTTTTTTATTAGATACCCAAGCACACATGTGTGCACCTGAGTACCTCTTCTGCATTCTTTACCTTCGTGAACACTGCAATCGTTTTTACTGGGGGTGAAGGAAAAAGAAACTGGCTTTAAATTCGGCTTTTAAAGAACATGGATTTAAAAGTTTTTATTAAGTCTTTATATAAGATAAGATATGAATGTTATAATACTCCATTAAGTATTTTTTTTAATTTTAATATTTTGAATGTTTTAAAGACATCACTTGCGTATCTTTTCCACCCTATTTTGACAGTCACCCTTACATTGTTAGTTACTTGACGCAGTGCTCACCATTTTTCTTTTCAAAATCACCTGACAAAAATGCTGCAGGCAATTTTGCACACAATTTTAAAAAGCAATGCACAGCAACAGAATAGTGTATTAATGAAAGAAAAAAAGTGATTACATGTTGGGGTCTCCCTGCATGTTTTTTTTGCTCTTTTACAATTTATATTTGCCAACAGAAGGATCAACTATAATTTGCAGAGGTATGCATGTTATTTTCCGAGCATCATGCATAGCTTGTATAACTTGCATAACTTATTCCGAAGAAGTAGGCCAACAAAATGTCATAGGTAATATCACTGATCTTTCAAGTGGCTTCTGAGCTCCACTCAGTGTTTTATGCCAGTTAGTGAATCAATGCAGAAAGCAGTGGCGGATCCAGAGACTGATCTCGGGAGGGGCACTTTTATATTATTTAAAGAAATAATCCATGCACAATAACCACTACAATGCACTACAGCTCTGTGTAGTGGTTATAGTGCCAGTAGTGCCTGGACCCCCTCCCAGAGTAAGTAGTCAAACCATTTAAGAACAGTTTGACAACTTACCTGGGATCTGCTGGGATATGGGGCTGTAGTAGGGCATAGGAGCAGTGGTGTAATGTGACGAGTGCAGTGTATGTGTGTGTGGGGGCAGTGTGTGTATGGGGGGCAGTGTATGTGTGTGTGTTGTTTGGCAGTGTGTGTGTGGGGGCAGTGTGGGGGGCAGTGTGTGTGAGGGGGGCAGTGTGTGAGGGGGCAGTGTGTGTGTGTGTGTGTGCATGGGGCAGTGTGTGTGTAAAGGTGTGTGTGTGTGGGGGCAGTGTGTGTGTGGGGGCAGTGTGTATGTGGGGGGCAGTGTGTGGGGGGCAGTGTGTGTGCATAGGGACAGTGTGTGTGTGGGGGCAGTGTGTGCGTGTGTGTGCGTGGGGGCAGTGTGTGTGTGTGTGTGGGGCAGTGTGTGTGGGGGCAGTGTGTGCGTGGGGGCAGTGTGTGCGCATAGGTGCAGTGTGTGTGCATAGGGGCAGTGTGTGTGCATAGGGGCAGTGTATGCGAGTGTGGGGGGGCAGTGTGTGTATGGGGGACAGTGTGTGTGTGTGTGTAGGGGCAGTGTATGGGGGGCAATGTGTGAATGTGTGGTGAAGAGTGTAGGGGGGCTTTTTGATAAAAAAATAATTTATAAAACTAAATAAATTTTATGTCCTGGGAGGAGGGGGGACATTTCTCCATCCCTAGGGGTCTGGTGGGGATTCCCTGGTGGTCCCAGTGGTAGGAGTGAACTCTAGCCTGTAGCTCCAGGGCTAGAGTTCACTCTCGCCAGATTTGGAGCATTGCCGTGGTAACCGCGGCAATGCTCCATGCTCGCAAGAGTAGGACCCGGAGGAGCTGCAGGCTGAGCTCCCGGGTCCTCTCTCACTCCCTTGGACAATGCCACCCCTGCATTAGCCGGCAGGGGATAATCTCGAGGGGGGGGGCAATTGTCCCGTTGCCCCTACCACCCCCCCGGATTCGCCAGTGGCAGAAAGTCCAGGTGAGAACGCTCATGTAGAAGTAATGTGGACACCCACACTGGTGTGCCTCCAGGAGGGTAGGGCGAATTCCCAGCAGTCAAATTTTGAAGAGAGAACATGGGTACATGAAATGGTATCCAAACACAGACTTTATTTAGGAACAAGGTACACCAACGTTTTGGCTCATCCATTCAACGTCACTCTCTTCCCAGATGCACAACCCAAGTGTCCATTAACTGAGCTAGTTTGTGCTATAAATATGTAGAAATTGTACTCTGTACTAAGGCATGATAAAAGCTCAATAACTGAGGCGAAACATTGCTGTCCCTTGTTTCTACATAAAGTCTGCCACTTGGATAAATTGTAAATCGTGTGTCCAGGTTCTCTCTTCAAAATTAGTGAATCAATGTGATATAGTTGTACGAGAAAGAGATCTGTGCTCAAAATATCACATGTCTCTCTTCCTAGTTTGACCATGTCTTATTGACTTTGAGGACAATATCACTTCTTATTTTATTTTGCCAGTTTTCACTAGACCAAATGGGAGCAGTACAAAATTAAATCTGTGCCACTGACCTCCTCCTCCCCTTCTAAACCATAACTAACAGTTCCCCTTTATACTGTGTCACTATAAACCGCTCCCCTTTAACCCTATCTTGCAGCTATATAAGGAATGTAGGAATGCTATTGTCACATGCAGCAGGCATGATTTGTTGTTTTATTGGAAAAAATATTGTTAATCAATGGATGTGTGTAGTGGTGGATACTGGAAATGGTTACCCATTAAAGTAGTATTGCTGATTACAGCACTGTAAAGATTTTAATTTGGTTGCCTTAGCTAGAGGAATGTAAACCAACATTCCTCTGGCCAGGTGTAAAATTTTGAACCCTGGGATATTCACGTGTACTTTTTCCTATACCTACCAGTTTTGGGCCTACTGGTGCTCTGCTGAAAGCACGGGCCTCTGGTCTTGAAGTATTGAGACAATATTTCTGCTAAGAGTTATATCCAAAAATAAAATCAAAAATCCAGAGGTGAATAATAATAATTTATAATAATTCAGAATGCCGAGGTTATTCCCTAAAACAAAACACATGACCAGTGCACCTTACCTTACGCCTTTTGGGAAGGGTGTGGCTGAGGGTACTGGGAAGTTAGTTGTTATAAATCACAGAAAAGTCTTGTGAGATTGTCTGGTATGGAACGGCTTTTTTAATATTTATTTTTTTGTCCATCTTTTTTTCATCAATTCGCAAACAAATACATAAACACATCAAGAGAATGGACAAGTGTTAACAATTCCCCATATGAATTTTTTTTTTCTGTACCAGGTATACAACAAGAGATAGGATCTTTTTATTGAATTTATTTATATATATTTGTTTCTGAATTTGTCAAAATGTGAAATGGGAGGTACCATCAAACTGGGATCTCTACAGCCACTGTTACCCTCCACCATGTACCGCCGGTTTGGAAACTTGAGATTATTGCAGCAATTGTAAATCCGATGACATGCAATTGACTAGTGTAATTTCGAGTAAGTTGCAATTTTCCGTGCCAGAACTCCCTGGCAAGATCAATTCCTGGGCTAGAATTGTGACTGACCTTTTTATTTTCATCTGTTTGTTGGTGTATTTAACTTGTTTACAATCTATTCTTATATCTATGCACTTTTTTCATTTTAGTTATAACAAATGTTCCTTAGCTCTGTCTTTGTTTGGTAAATAATCACATTACCGGAAGAAACCTATTTTAATAGTAATTTTTATATCATAGATATTTAGCAAAATAGTTTTTTGCTGGTTTTTAAATATAATTTGTTGGGCTAACCTAATTTCTAAGTTGCTTTGGTGATGCTTTTGATACTAGAGAAAAATTTGGGGAATGTTAAGAGGGATTTCTTTATCAATATTTTGGATCTAGTGCTGACAAATAGTGATTCTTTTTTTTTTTAATGTCAGTGACACTATTAACATTATTATTGAGAGTTTGGCTCAAATATGTATACTCAGAATTCACTAGATCAGGGTTCAGCAACCTATGGCATTTGAGGTGCCTTTGCATGGCACTCAAGGCTTCTGTAGCAAAACAAGCCTATCAGGAGTTCCAGTGGAACTTCAGATATCTGCTAGTGCAAAAAGGTGGTGAGGGACAATCCTCAATTTACATATTGCAGCACATAGCTCTCTCAGATCACTATCTCCCAGCACTTGTGAATGTGAATCCACACTGATGTAGAGCAGCCCACAGCAGCTATTGCACCTCCTGCCCTCGACCTGTACTTGGCCAGCCTGGTCCCTACTGGACCCATTGGAAAGCCACCAACACTGGTAGATATACACAGAACTGTAGACAGGGCCGCCATCAGGGCATGACAACCGTGACAATTGTCACGGGCCCGGCGGCCCTGGGGGGCCCGGCGGCCTGGGCCCCGCATGGATCAGCGGAACTGCCGCTGGTGCACCTGCACCGGGGCCCACGCGCTGATGGGGCCCATCAGGTGGCCCAATCATTTAGGGCCACCCAATGGGCCCTATTATCTTCAGGGGCCCGATCAACGCTGTAATAGCGCGACCGGGCCCCTTTAAAAAAAAAAATGCAGCTGGAAGTGCTGCTGGGAGGAAGTGACGTCCGGTCACTTCCTCCCACTTTACTCCGCGCGGGAAGGAGGACGCAGCATGAGGAGAGGCAGCCGATGCCCATCATCCCCAGCCCCCCTCCTGCGACGAAATGGTAAGGAAGAGAGGAGGGTGGCTGGGATGAGGTGTATGTATTTAAGTACATACACCTCATTTCACCTTGTTTCACTGTCAGCACTCTCCCTGCAACGATGAGAAGCACTTGCTGGTGGAGTAACACTGTGACACTATGCAGGTAACACTCTTATAACAAAGGAGGATGTGGGGCCAGCTGGGGTACTCCACACCTTTGTCGTGTTTTTACTGTTATTTACTTATTAAGACTTTGCATACTGTCTTCATAAATTACTTTCTAATTTACCGTTTCTATTTCAAGAGTAATTTTGTAATTGTTGCCAATTCATCAACCTTAGATAATTTCAGAGACATTTAAATTCTGTCACAATTTGGTTCAATTCAGAGATGCTTATTAGTGGCTAATTTTAATCAGTTTGGTTACCTCACTTTGCATTATAGTAAATTGGGTGTGTTTGAAAGCTGTCCCAGATTGCTCTAAATAATTTTGGAAAAATATGCTACAGCAAATTTCACCTTTAGTAAATAACCCCTGAAGAGATGTGTGTTTGCAAAGCTGTTTTTACACATCCTTTCTGCTAATTGGTGATATGTACACCATATATGCAGGTAGAGTGACCTTGTAGCACTTCCGTTTGCCTGTAAGAGAACTTCAAGATCCTCATTAAAAGACCAAACTTACTAAGGACATGCACAGCTATTTGTTTTAAAGTGTAAACTGTCAATTTAAATATAGGCAAAATGGGGAAAAATCTGCTATGTTTTTAGTTTGGTAATTTTAGAAATGCAATTTGAATTCACTTAGACTAGCGGACAATTCACATTTTAGTGAATAGCCGTATGAATGTAGAACTTGAAGAAAATCGAAGGAACTGAGGTTTTGCTAGCTGAAAAGAGGTTCATATGGAAATTGGAGACATGCTTGCTGCGCATCCACACTGCCTGCCCACACATATGCGCACTGCAGCTTGCAATGTAACAGATACACACTTTCTGGCAGCAGCATTATAAAGGTACCAGTCAAGATACTGCGGCATGTAACTGACATCAATAAGTAGATGGATAGGTGCAGAGCAGACTGTGACTGTAATACAGAACCATCTTATACAAAATAGTTCAATCAAACACAATGAAATAAACAACTTATATAAAGCTAATATGGAACCAGTAAATCTACCGTGACCAGTTATGAAGGATGAATTACTTTAACAGCCCCATTGTACTTTGCGTTTAAGATAAACATTATCTTTCTGTTGAATTTCAACACCATTTATTGCTAGTTAATATGATGTCAGTAAAGGACGAGGGAGGACCTGACTCTGCAACAGTTGTTTAGAATGGTACGTGTATCGAAAGAGGAAAGTAAAGTTCATCATTAACTGAAAAAAGAATGTATTACTTTAGCATCTGCACATTTACATGAATATTTCACTTATTACAGGAGAAATAAGCTTCATTCTAAAATATACACTCACATTACGACAATTTTAGCCGTTGAATAGCTTAAACTACCGTAACTTTAGGCAGACCTATGACCTGAAGAAAACTTTGAGTTAAAGTATGAAATGGCATCTATATGTTTATATCAACATTTTAAATTATTCTGTTTGCTCCTTGACAACCAGTTTTAAAAAGATGATTGTCATAGAGCAGCCAATCAGATTCATGGCTGCTGTAAGGAGAAATATATGACACTTTTAGCAGCACTGTGCCTACCCTTAGTGGTATGCCAATGTGCTAAGTCGGGTAGGACACTGATTGCAAAAAACAGCAAGTTTGATTGATGATTGGTCCACCTACATCTATAACAGTGTATGTATGCCAGTGTATGTATGTGTATGCCAGTGTATGTATGTGTATGTGTTTGTCAGTGTATGTATGCCAGTGTATGTATGTGTATGCCAGTGTATGTATGCCAGTGTATGTATGTGTATGCCAGTGTATGTATGTGTATGTGTTTGTCAGTGTATGTGAGTGTATGTATGCCAGTGTATGTATGTGTATGCCAGTGTATGTATGTATGCCAGTGTATGTATGTATGCCAGTGTATGTGTGTATGCCAGTGTACGTGTGTATGCCAGTGTGTGTGTGTATGCCAGTGTATGCCATTGTGTGTATGCCAGTGTGTGTGTATGCCAGTGTGTGTATGCCAGTGTGTGTGTATGCCAGTGTATGTATGTATGCCAATGTATGTGTGTATGAATGCCAGTGTGTGTATGCCAGTGTATGTGTGTATGTATGCCAGTGCATGTGTATGCCAGTGCATGTGTGTATGCCAGTGCGTGTCTGTATGTATGTATGCCTGTCAGTATGTATGTATGTATATATCAGTATGCAGTATGTGTATGTATATGTATGTTTGTCAGTATGTATGTCTGCATGCATATGTGTGTGTGTGTGTATCAGTATCTCCCTATGCATGTGTGTATGTCTGTTTCAGTATTTGTATCTGTTAGTGTGTGTGTATGTATTCCTGTGGGCGGGATTTGGAGGCGGGCTTGAATGGGGGCCCAGACCTTGAGCTGTGTTAGGGGCCCCAAAATTTCTGATGGCGGCCCTGACTGTAGAATAAGCATCCCATCATTCAAATACAAACTGTGCACACACAAACACACAGTCCCCACAAACACAAACCACTGTCAATCCATATACACGCACACAACCCACAAGCAGCCTCTGACATGCAATACCCCAAGCATACACATACCACCAAACATACTATGTGACTTATCATCCACAAACACAATTCCATGAACAGACCCCATGTGAAGCCCACATCCATAGGTATCATACACAATACCCCAAAGTACTCCTGAAAATATACAATGTAACAGCCCACATGGTCACAAATACAAAAGCTACAAAGCAACTGCAGCACCTATAAATAACACAATCACAATACGACAACATACACACCTCGATTTTAAAAACAATAGGACTGGCACACCATGGACTTCCAATTCTTGTTTCTGCACAGTACTACTTAAAGGTTGCCTTCCCCTAAACTGCATAGTCCTGGAAATAAACATATTTATCTCCCCCAGGTGAACCTTTCACTCAAGAGGAAATGGAAGAGATGATCTCCGCTGCCGTGGACCCAGATAAGAGTATAGTTCTTTACAAGGATTACATTTTAACAATGGTAATAGAAGATTCATGAATGCGACAACCTAAGACTTCAGCTGAGACAATATGGATGGTGCTAATAATATTAAATGTAGCAGATAAATTTGATATAATGGTACTCCTTTGATGTTTATTTTTGCACTGTCTTCACGCAGTATAATCAGAAGATCATTAGGTTATGAAAAAGCATCTCTGCCTCTCACTCTGTGTTAACCAGCCGTAACTACTCTGTGTGAAATTAAATAAATGTTGTGGCAGCATCCATCAAACGTTTGTACGAAGTATAAATAGAAAATATACTCATCTTTAACTACATTCCACTGCCAGTCTGGATCTATTTTTTACAGCTAGAGCTATCATCATGCAGAATTACTGTAAAATACATTACCTTTTAATACAGCATAGGCAGAGGATGAAAGGAGAGCTTTGGGAATGTTATATAGGAATATATGCTGATTGCACTGGTAGCCTGTCATGCCCTCGATAATACAAATGCCTGTTTTTAACCAGGGGACTGTAATTAATGTATTAAAAAGTCAATTTTTTTTAAAACAAAATATATGCATATAACCCCTTCCCCTTCCCTCCACTTTCATGATGAATGTAGATGCTGAGGAGTGGCTGAGCAACTAATCATGTCCAAATTTGGGGCATGTTGTTAAAAAAAATGCTGCATTTTCTGCATATTTACCTCCCAGACATGCTTAGCCTTCCCTATTGGGGAATTTTTATGCCAACCATTGGAATGCATTGGTCATTCAGATCCTGGATACCCTCACTGATATTCCTGCATAGTGTCCTGCCTTCTAGAGCTGTTGTTGGATAACAACAACAAGGGTTGTAGTGGTACTTCTTTAAAATAGTTGTTTTTCCCAAATGCATGTATCTATAGATATATGTTGTTGAACAGGGCATGATGCCTCTTTGGGCCAGGTACAGAGTACATGGAGTTAAAGGAACCAATTAACAAAACCACTACAGTATGCGTTAGTAGTTATGATTCCCCTTTTGTAAGGAGTCATACCATTTAAAAACTGTTTGACTTCTTACCTGAAGTTTGACTTATATCAAGTTCTAAATTGGTTTGATTCCGGTTTGCCTGTGTCTCCGTATCCCAGGCAGGTATTGACCCTTTTGCCTGTGCCTCCTGTATAGGAGGCACAGACCGCATTAAAGCTTTTTTTCTGCTTGTTCTTACTAATTAAATGTTATACTAATGGATTCCTTTAAGTCATATCTTACTGCTGGGCAGAGACTCTGTGGTTGGATCCTTCCCTCTACAGGGCATTCCTCTCCATGAGGGAGGACACTATCAACTGAATACTGTGGTGGTGTGAGCTGTGTCGGCCGCACGGCGCCCCCTGCTCCATGGCGCCCTGTGCGTCCGCACACCTCTAAGGCCGGCCCTGGCCATTAATGTTTTTTTTGGACATCCCTGGAGGAACTGGCTTGTACCTCTGGTGGTATGCATACCACAGGTTGGAAACAGCTACTGTAGAAGATTCAAAATGACCATGAGAATCACTTAATGTAAGCACCCTTAATAAGAGAAGAATGCTTCTGAGAGAACTGATACGCCAGAAAGTTGGTATTGCTTTCATCCAGAAGACGTATCTTCCCAGATCCTCATACATCAAATTATGTGGCCTTGTATTCGATAGGGCTTAGGACTCAAGAATGCTTAATAATCCTAATGGGGTTGAAATATTGCTGTGTAGAAGAAGCACTCTACAAGTTACTAACAATGTTGCAGAGGGTTGCTATAGTTTATTATAAGGTACTTAGAACGCCAGCATCACCCACCTGGTGAACATATGCACCTAATCATTCTGATCCACTTTGGTTCTCTTTGGAGATTTTGGTCTATCCCTTCTCACACAGAATTATATTGCTGTGGGTGACGTCAACGCAATGCATTGTCACGCTGCTAACAGGTGTGCTAGAATGGGACTGCTCAGGTCCCAGGGGAGGGTTGCAAAGGACAGATTATTACACCTTTTCATACACACCAACCTTATAGATGCACCCAGATACTGGGTATCTGTATTCTTACATCACAACCACTCCACTTTTTTCGGAACTGATCTTTTTCTCACCAAAGGATTAAATATGCTGAGCATTGGGGATGGAGATAATAAGTATCACAACCAGATGCACAAAGCTGTAAACAACAGCACAAAACAAGTCCAATTCCTGCTAAGAGTGGCAGGGCAGAATTATTACTTCCCCAAATGACATCAATCATGTAATAACCAGTTCTATGCTTCATTGTATAACCACTCCACACACATTATTCTGCACAATATACCACATGTGGAGGCCTTGTGCTCCTTTCTAAATAAATGTACACTTCCTAAGCTGGACTAAGCCCCTTTCTTGTCACTTGGTTCTCCCATAACCAAAGATTAAATTATCCAAACTATCGCAGAGCTCTAGGTCCTGGTGGGTTTTTTTGTATTGTTTTTTATGGTTATAGTAATTTATTTTATTTTTCAAAAAAATGTATTGAACAGTATTTTGAAAAACATATTTCACATTCATTTGGCACAAAAAGAAGGCAACATTTTAATAACAGCAATAAGAAAAGAAGAAAATCAAAATAAAATAAAAAAAGATACAATAGTGTATTCGTTCCTGTCAAAATATAATATAATACAGAGATTAATATAACCAATTGTATGTAAAAATATTGTATACCAATATGTAGCAGGGCATGTGGAATTGTCTACAGTAGAAACGTTTTACTCTCTCTCTCTCTCTCTCTCTCTCTCTCTCTCTCTCTATATATATATATATATATATACACAGTATCTCACAAAAGTGAGTACACCCCTCACATTTTTGTAAATATTTTATTATGTCTTTTAAACTGAAGAAATTACACTCTGCTACAATGTAAAGTAGTAAGTGTACAGCCTGTGTAACAGTGTAAATTTGCTGTCCCCTCAAAATAACTCAACACACAGCCATTAATGTTGGTAACAAAAGTGAGTACACCCCTAAGTGGAAATGTCCAAATTGGGCCCAATTAGCCATTTTCCCTCCGCGGTGTCATGTGACTCGTTAGTGTTACAAGGTCTCAGGTGTGAATGGGGAGCAGGTGTGTTACATTTGGTGTTCTTGCTTTTACACTCTCTCATACTGGTCACTGGAAGTTCAACATGGCACCTCATGGCAAAGAACTCTCTGAGGATCTGAAAAAAAGAATTGTTGCTCTACATAAAGATGGCCTAGGCTATAAGAACATTACCAAGACCCTGAAATTGAGCTGCAGCACGGTGGGCAAGACCATACAGTGGTTTCCTAGGACAGGTTCCACTCAGAACAGGCCTCGCCTTGGTCGACCAAAGAAGTTGAGTGCACGTGTTTAGCGTCATATCCAGAGGTTGTCTTTGGGAAATAGATGTATGAGTGCTGCCAGCATTGCTGCAGAGGTTGAAGGGGTGGGGGGTCAGCCTGTCATTGCTTAGACCATACGCTGCACACTGCATCAAATTGGTCTGCATGGCTGTCGTCCCAGAAGGAAGCCGCTTCTAAAGATGATGCTCAAGAAAGCCCGCAAACAGTTTGCTGACGACATGCAGACTAAGGACATGGATTACATGGATTACTGGAACCATGTCCTGTGGTCCGTTGAGACCAAGATAAACTTATTTTATTAAAATGATCTCAAGCGAGTGTGGCGACAACCAGGTGAGGAGTACAAAGACAAGTGTGTATTGCCTACAGTCAAGGATTGTGGTGGGAGTGTCATGGTCTGGGCCTGCATGAGTGCTGCCGGCACTGAGGAGCTACAGTTCATTGAGGGAACCATGAATGCCAACATGTGCTGTGACCTACTGAAGCAGAGCATGATCTCCTCCCTTCGGAGACTGGGCCACATGGCAGTATTCCAACATGATAACAACCCCAAACACACCTCCAAGACGACCACTGCCTTGCTAAAGAAACTGAAGGTAAAGGTGATGGACTGGCCAAGCATGTCTCCAGACCTAAACCCTATTGAGCATCTGTGAGGCTTCCTCAAATGGAAGGTGGGGGACCGCAAGGTCTCTAACATCCACCAGCTCTGTGATGTTGTCATGGAGGAGTGGGAGAAGACTCCAGTGGCAACCTGTGAAGCTCTAGTGAACTCCATGCCCATGAGGGTTAAGGCAGTGCTGGAAAATAATGGTGCCCACACAAAATATTGACACTTTGGGCCCAATTTGGACAATTCCACTTAGGGGTGTACTCACTTTTGTTGCCAATGGTTTAGACATGGCTGTGTGTTGTTATTTTGAGGGGACAGCAAATTTACACTGTTATACAGGCTGTACATTTACTATATTACATTGTAGCAGAGTGTCATTTCTTCGGTGTTGTCAAATGAAAAGATTTGATAAAATATTTACAAAAATATGAGGGGTGTACTCACTTTTGTGAAATACTGTATCACTTTCCCAAACGTCCCAATGAATCTGCAAATTGACATTTTGAGGTGACGGTTGCCGCAACGCCAATTCATAACTTTTGTTTCCGAGCATTAAAATCAGTACTTCATTAATTTATGGTAAAGTCGAAGACTTTCAATAACAAGGTATGAGCGATGTGGCTGTAATAAGAATGGGGCCTACCATCATTTTATCTAATTTACTGGATGTCTTCGGGAGATTTTTTAATAAACCCACCTCTGGAGAAAATGTTACAATTGACAGATCTATCTTTTTAATCAGTGAATGTATTCCCTGCAAAAATGGGTGCAATTTTGCACAGTGGTATGATATATGTGAAAGCATATCGAGGCCTCCACAACCCCTCCCTGTCTTCATTTTATAGACTATTGAAGGAGCTAGGTGCCAACGGTATATAATTTTGGAGGGATTCTCCATTGTGTGACCCCCTTTTAGAGATGATGTGAATGCAAGCCATTCCTCTAGGTCCCATTGCAGACCCAAATCCTTTTCCCAGACTATAAAAAAAGTCTTGTTTTGATTAAACAATTTAGATATGGTGAAACACCCCAATATTACTATATAAAATATAACTTTTATTGTAACAAAATTATCCAAAACAAGGATATATAAAGAACCCTCCCAATAAAAAACATATCCTATATTTCCAATAAATTAGTATAAGTTCAAAAAACTATCAGTTTAAAGGTTCACTTTGGCATATTGATAGATAGGGGGGAGGGGAAGGAAAACGGTGGGTTCCATTCAATTACATTATAAACGTCCGCACATATATAGGGTTAATAAACTAATCCCATGTGCCAGGTATAATTGTATCTAAATAAATAACCAAAAGTTTAGAACAGTGAAATATAAAGTATCAATCTCCCACTGTATTTAATCATATTAGCTTTTGT